TAAAAGAAAAAACAGATTATTATTATTATTGCTAATCATTTTAAAGTTTCCAGATTTCATTTATCGACCTTGATATAAACTCCTAACATAGTTTAATGTATGTCATGTTTAAAACAAAGAAAATTATTACAAAATTCATTCTTTTCAGTATTATATAAGTATATTATTTAAAATATAAAAAAATTAAAAAAGAATGAAAATATTGTTTTTTATATATAAATATTATTTATTATTAAATTAATTAAATACATTAGAAAAACAATTTTGAAAGATTATAAGTAGGAATTTTAAATAGTAACAGTGTTATACACACACATATATATATATATATTATAGAGAATATTATATAGAATTAGATCGACGGATAAAATCGACGTGGAAATGAGTGATTCTACATGAAAAAATGAATAAGAAAATATAAAATAAAATAAAATAAAATTTTTTATTTTTGTAAAAACCATAAATGACTTATACGTTGAAAAAGTCATGTAATCAGCGAATTTTCAAATTTAATTTGTCGAAAATTAACTTTTATATGAAAAAAATTTATTTATTTTTTGCTTATTTTCATATGTCGAATCTATCAATTTTCTATCAATTCATTTATATCTAATAGGAAATTAATTTTGTTTATATTTGAAATTTTTTTGTATTTGATTTATTTGAAAATAAAATTTCAAATGAAAAAATTTTATTCTACATCTTCAACTTATTTTTTCATGTAAAATTATTTTTTTCACATGATGTATTTCACATTATTTATGAAATACCTTATATATTTGATAAATCAACAGTAAATCAATATTAAATGACATTCTTACATTTGATGTGCATTGATGTGATTTTTTTTTTTTTTTTTATAATAAAATAACTTCAATAAATAGTTTTTATAAATATAAAGGCATATATATTTGTTTTTTAATATAGTATTTTAATATAATATAAATATGATTTATGTTAAAGAATGATTAATAAGTGACAATTAATATATATAAATTTTATTTTCAAAATCAAAAATATAATTATAACTTTTTTTTTTTGAAATATCTAGTTATCATCATGATTCATTTTAAACAAATAAACAAACTATTTTATGTATGTATATATATATATATATATATATATAAAGTATAAATTCAAATGATTTCAATACTTGA